CCCGGCCCAGGGCTTTCCCCCGCTCGCCAGCCGCCCGCGCTTCCTCTCCGCGTGCGAGTTGCGACACGGGCTTGGGAGCGTCTCGCCTCCCTTTGGACGTCGACGGGAGCGGCCCTGTGTGCGACATACCCCGGATCGCCCTCCTTCCAGACGCGGCCCTGGTGGGGGCGGTGGGGGCGGTGGGGGCGGAGGGGGCGGGGGGCGCGCACTCCTTCCACGAAGGAAGCTTGAAAATCACCTAAACAGGTGGTCGGTCCTCGGCTCAGATCCCCAGCTCTAGACGACACGATGTCCACCTCAAAAGACCAAGCTAAGTTGTTTTGGCATCGAAGGTAACACAGTGGAGCTGTCTAGTTGCTGCGCCTGCACTACCCGTCTCCCCCCACCCCCCCTAAAAAACCTGTAAGGCTCCATTTCTCTTGCTAACCAAGACATCCAAGCTTGACAGAACTATTTAGTAAATAGGGAAATGGGAAGAAGTTATACTCCGACAGATTAATTTTTGTTTCCCTTTCCTCGTCTCCCCAAACCCACAGGCAGCCTTCCCAGAAGTGTAAGTAAAGCATAGAGCGTTCATCCCCTGGCAGTTAAGGGGAATATCGAACTGATCCCTGCAAGTGGAAAGCGGTCCCAGGCAGTAATTAGTGGGGCTTGATGGGAGCCCAGCGTTTCCCCCAGCCCAGTCGGTCCTCTGTTGAAGGAAGGACATCCTGTGATGATGGCATACAATGTCCTGTTTGTTTATTATTAAGAGCGTGGACCTTGCATTCCTGCTTCTCATTACAAAACAAACCAGACGCTTCACTTCCTTTAATGGTCTTGCGCTTTCAGCAAGGAATCCTTTAATTCAGAGGAACAAGGATGCTGAGGGTCCGTTTATAGCAAACACCCATTGCAAAGACCATTTAGACCACTGGAATTCAGGTCTTCCACTTTTTCTGCCTCCCTTCCCATAAGTGGTTTTGTTTTTTGTTTTTGGAAACCATCTCTCCTTCAGCCTATAGCTGCAATGTCTTTTCTAACATTTTAAATACACGTGTGCCTACACCCCCCCCACACACACACCCCCACATATACACACCCAATCCCAACCTAATGATACCGACTTAGTCATCCAATGAAGTGGACATCTGAGTATTTGTTTACAGGAAGAAATGAAACAAAGCAAAACAAAAGCCCAACTCAATCCTAAAAATATGTCTGTTTATCTTAAAGTTTTCTTTCGCCTCTTTTAGAAAACTTTTCCAAATTTTTGGGGGGGGGAAGAAGGGACTGGATGCCGAAGATTATTTTCCAGGAAATGGCATTTGCGTCTAAAGTCCTCCTCCTCCTCCAATCTCTCGGCGTACAGAATAATTAAATTCCCACTAGGGGACATAAGTAGCACATACTCCCTGCTTGCTGCCGGGTTCACCTGTCATTGCACGTTCTGCCAGAGGGGACGCTGGCACCCTCTTTGAGAAGGTGGACTTTTAAGGAGGCAGATGTGCTAAGCGTGTAAAACTGAATGAACAATTCCTGAGAGTCCTCAGAAAGCTCCAAGATGATAATTAAACAAGAGAAATCCAGTCTTCTCGAGAGGGTTTATTAACTGATGCTGAGTCAGCGCCACCATGGACAGAAAAACAATGTAGTCATGCCGAGGGCTGGCCTGCTGTTCAAACAGTCTCACTTGCAGACGTTAAAGAGTATTTCACTTCCCTTTGGGAGTCTAACGCTGTTCTTCAGCCATAGATACCATCATGCAAGTGCTGGGCAGTCAACCATGATGGAGCCAGAGAACAGGCATAGAGTTTGATATCTGAGGTGGGAAGAGGGCTATTTTAGCTTTGCAAATATTTTATATTTGCTTTCATGGCTGGAAGATGCCAGTGAATCAACTCACTGCTAATTAATATCAGCCTGCACTCACCTCCAGAGGTGGTGAGATGGGCTTGAGTCTACGGAGGACGCAAACTTCAAATACCAGTGTGGGGCTTAGCCAGGCAACCCTAAAATTAGTTCCAGGTGTCCCAGCTGAGCTGGACAAGGCCACGGGTGGAACTTTCAGGAAAGGAACTTTGGAGACATGGCGTGTTAGGATATAAAATGCTTCCAATGTTTGCTTCTTCTCTCAAAATGATAGGAAAAAAAGAAAAAAAAAAAAACCCTCCAAACCATCTTTTGACTGTGATGAGAGTGGTCAAGGAGGGGCAATAATGTTATTTAAAATGGCAGACACAAAAAAGGAAGAAGGAAGTATGCTCCATGGTTGGAAGAAACACGCTCATCTTGTAATATTTAAGTATTGTCCGGCACAAAGCTGTTCAAGGGAAGAAAAGAGACTGATCTCTGACTTTCACTCAGTCCTTCCAGAAGGCCCATGCAGAGCACATTTTTAATGCTGACTAAAGTTGGGAGACTCTGGTGGTACAGCATGCAGATCGCTATCTGAGGCTACCACTGCCTGGAATCTTACATTTCAAAGCATTTGCTTCTAAGTAATAACTTGGTGCATTTTCAGTCACCATATTATATTATTTCCCTCCCTGTTAGAACAGTAAAAAGAACCTCGGTTATCTTTATTAATCAGCGTTCTCAGGCAGAGAAATTAAGTGTGCTCACAATGGCAGCCAATTACGAATGATCCAAATAGCTCTGTTCTCAGAAATCCTCATCTTTTCCCTTGGATGGCATCAACACAAGAGTTCAACCTGCCAAATGTTCATTCGGTTTCAGCTACTGGGCCAGTTTTTTTTTTTTTTTTCCCTCCTAGTCCTCGTGTGAATTGGGAGTTGTAATGTAGGTAGCTAGATACCTCTGGGGGTGGCAGGAACTATTACAGAATGAAGGGAAACTGAGTACCAAATCTGAAGACCTGAACTCCAGTTGGGAAGTTTTTTATTTTTTGCTTTTCCTAAATCAAGTAAAAAATGGGATAAAATGTACCCTAGATGAAACGTGTTTTCATTTTCTAATTCAACTCCTGCTATACCCAAACAAGGTCAATGACAGGCTAACCACATCAAGAGAACACCCCCCT